CTCTCTCCCTCTCGCTCTCTCTCGCTTCTCTAGGTACATGTAGTACACATCCAATCTAATCGAGGTCTACGGGTGTGCGTCTTTGGCACGCTCAATTATAGTTGTTTTCTCAAACTAAATACAAACGAGCATGAGTTAGCATCTGTGCTCATACTTTTCTGGTTCTATATATATATATATGCATATGTAATGGCATGTTTATGTATGTATTCGATAGGTAGACAGATAGGCAGATAGATAGGTCAGCTTACTTTAGATTTGGTTAGATAGATAGATAGATATGTTGATGGACCTCTGTTTTACTCTTCAAAGCCCTGATGACGATGTCGCTGTTGCTGGGGACGATTATCGTGGTGATGTTGTTGCTGGTGATGATGGCAATGAACGTGATGCTCTTTCCTGTTATGGCTTATGATGCCCGTGATAATTTCTTGCAGATTTGATGATGATGGGGTGTCTGTGGTGGCTACAGTGACCATGATCGCACTTCTCATCGCTACCACGCAAATGAACACCATCCCCCCAACGTTGTTGATGTAGGACATGATCATCTAGGCGTGGACCACTGTGGGACGACTTCGCTGCATCGGCACCTTAGCGAGCATCCATCAATCGTGCCTCTTGGTTGCAGGAGAGCTTTGATGGGGCGGTGGAGGCTTCCCTTACCGTGTAATTGGCTGTTATATCATTGCAGTAGAAGTCAACACAAGCCTACAGCTCCTGGGCAGTCGCGGTTTGAGAAGTGCCAGGTTCTCAGAAGAGGGCGAGGACTGGTTCTTCTGGAACAAGGCGAGGCGGCTTCTCCCGTGCCTTGCAGGCATGGATTTCTTCCAAGCGTGGAGTGTATTCTGCAGTTTTTTTGCAGGTTTACCTTCGGCCCAAAAAAACCCAGCTTTTGCGGATTCCTTTTCATGTTTTCCATATATATATATATATATGTTTTTTATAATTCCTTGACGGCTTTTGGGGTGGTGTGGGGAGCTTCAAGGAGTCCTCAAGATGCAACCCAAGGGTTAAGGGTGTAGGCTTCCCAAAGATGTCTTCAAAAGATCATGGGCCTCTGGGTAATTTCCGAAACTCCTAGTAGGCCCTAGTACATATCATACATATCCGTATCTGCCACGTGCAGTAGCTAGATTTATAATATAAGATTAGATTATGAATATCTGAAGCTCTATAGGCTTTGTTGTCCGACTCCAGATTGCAGCCAGCCTTGGGTAGCTGCACGACGCATGGGAAGCAATATTTGCTTGTCTTCTTTCCTCCAGCACTACGTCAGCGCACCAAAGTACTTCTCACAACCACACCATAAACATGCGTAATTACCGATAATATTTTGGGGCTCCTTACTATGATGATAGTATAATAACTCTAAGCCCTAAACCCTAAAAGCCCTAAACCCTAAAACCCGAAACCCTAAAAGGAAACCCCAATGTAGTAGGCTCAGCAGCCCAAGAAGGCGACCCTAGCTTCGTTGGCCCGATGTACTTCTGTCTTCCTCTTCGGCTATAAGCAAACCCGGAAAGACGCTAGGGTTTAGGGTTTAAGGTTTGGAGTTTAGGTTTTAGGGTTTAAGGTTTAGGGTTTATAGGGTTGAGGCTTTAGGGTTTAGGGTTTGGGGTTTAGGTTTTAGGGTTTAAGGTTTAGGGTTTATAGGGTTGAGGCTTTAGGGTTTAGGTCTACGCTCTGAAACTTCGCATAACGCTAGACAGGCTGAGGGAAAGGGCCCCAAACAAAAAGCAACGATGAGCCGTGAGCCATGGGAAGAGCCTTCCTAGACGCCCAGCGGGCAACAAGTCGCAGATTCTCGCGGGACTCAGACAGAAAAGGGTCGTTCAAAAAAGGCTCTATAAACCTTTAGCCCTAAACCCCAATGTAAGTCCTAAGCCCTAAACCTTAAAACCCCCATGTAAGTCCTGCTAACAGTAACAGTCCTTGCGCCCCTAAAGCCGTAAAGCTCTAAACCCTTGTCCTTCTCCGAGGCATCGCTCGTGGATCTCCGAGTTTGAAAGTCGAATGGCCGCGGCAGCTGCCGCCAAGAGGACTTCCAACCCTAAACCCCAAACCCCTAAATCCAAAACCCCTCTGGTTTAGGGTTGAGGGTTTAGCAGTTTAGGGGTTAAGGGATACAGGGTCGGGGTTAGGTTTCAATGCAGCTGTGCTTCAAATTTGTACGACTACACAAATCCTTGCACATCTTTGTGCTTTGTTTATGGTATTGTGTAGTCATGTCGTGTGTCATGACGAGGATGTTGATCGTGTTGATGCTACATATAGAAGCCCGGCCGTGCATGGGAGTGGTCATGTCTATCACAACTTGTATTCCTTGTCTTCATCGAAGGAAGAATCAGCTGCCGCTTTTGACAGCTACTCACTGTCACCTTGCATGTTTCTAAGGGCCTTTCTGCTTTGGAAGCCTGCGTCATATGGGGAATCTAGCTCTCTCGTATTCCCTACCGTTGACATATCCGCGGCGAGGAGCGGCCTCGCACTTCTAAAACACCATAAACCCTATAGTTTAGGGTTTGGGGCTTAGGGCTTTTATTTTCTGCTGCCCAGCTGATAGCAAAGAGCCTGGGTTCAAAAAACAAGGGCTTTTATTTTTGGATGTTGAGCTGTCCATCCACAATGGCAGGACCTTGACAGGATCTTCTCCCAGCTACTGGACTGCTCAATACAAGTGGAGTTGCCCATCGTGCTACGTCCACCTTTGTGGGCTTGTGTAGGCTTAGCAAGAGCACACCGCCTGGACGTTGGGGGAGGTTGGGCAAGTCATGCCCCAATGTAGTAAGGCTGCATGTTGTGGCAAGCAGAGTAAACTTCGGGCCCTTGAATGTCTCTGTCTGTATCCTCCAGCCTCGGCACATAATGGCACTAAACTCCAAAGGTTCCTCCAATTTCAATTTCACCGCATCCCAGGAATTCGTGGAATTGTCAATCCACGCTTCTTCTTCAACGCGCTGCTGCGCAAGGCCCTCTCCCTCATTCCACAGCTGAAGGCCGCGGGGTCGTGATGTAGGCCTGCAGGGTTTCATCGCGACAACACCGCCAAAGCCTATCCACTGGGATCAGTTTTTGTTTCAAGGCTTTGGGCATTTGGTCCACCTTCCTAGAGGTTTATAGTATGGGTTTACTTCGGGTTTATACATCTCTTGCCGGGAATTCCACATGATGTGAGAGATTGAAGAACAACATGTACTGCATCTCTGGCTCCTACCATAGAAGGGCCGCCTCCCAACATCTGGAATGCTTCTCCGCGAGCCCGTGCAGTCGAATGGCGACGGTCCGCATGACCCACATGCCTGACCAAAAACTGAGACCGTCGGATAGCACCAAAAGGGGAAGCCGACACACACACACACACAGAGCCTCAAAAGCAACATCAGCACCAAAAAACCTTTCAAATTAGAGCCCTAAAAATCCCCAAGCATAAGTGCCAATACTATCCTGCAGCGTCCCTGATAGTTCTATATTCTAGGTAGTTTCCCTGCAGCGCGACCCAGTCGGCGAAGCGGGTGGGGAACAAATGCTTAAACATATCCCCAAAACCCTACTCTAATTTTTTCGCCCCCCCATCCTCAACCTTACCAGAGCCCTCTACTAGAACCTGTGTTGACCCAGTTGAAGGAACTGATTCTGATGATTGGACGCCCCTAAACTAAACCCTACTAGAAACATTATGGTAAAACTATTAAGGAAATCCTCAAACGGAATTATTGAGGCCCAAAGTCTTGTGACCAGGTCCTGGTCGTCGTTTGCGACCCATTGGGCCGTCTGGAGCGGCGCTACGCCGACTTCTCCGCCTGTGCTACGCGAGGGAGACGCGAGGGGTTTGGGCTTTGCCAGGGATCAGCTTCAGAAGTTTCAGGCAGAAACAAGAAAAAATACGAACGTTTTTCCTGAGGGTTCCTTATTCTATTTACACGAAAGTTACTATAGGAGACGTCTAAATAACCTATTTTCACTAAATCAGCGGCTGGAGGCTTCATGGTTGGGGGTTTTAGTTGCTGTCAGGCTTAAGCAACCCTCAGGAGCCAGATGTAGAAAGGATTTGGTTTTTGAGCTTGGGGTTTTCGAGGTGTATGTTTGATTAATGTTGAGCGTCGAGAGTAGGGGGGGGGGCCCGGGGACAGCACGGTTTGCGAAGTTGGTTTTTAGGCGAGTTGACAGTCTTGAGTTGTTGTGCATTTGCGATGTACGTTCCAAGACCCTATAAGCATCTAAGCTCTAAACCCGTGCATGCTTTGGGACCCTCGCCGTGAGTGCTGAAACCTTTTACTTTTGCATGTGTCCACTAGACATGGCAGGAGCGTTGGTCCGGGGCATCCTCCCTGCTCTGAGCTTCTTGACTGCCGCAAGGGGCTGGGGCAGTTAGACAAAAACCCCGGATCACCAATATCCTTGTTTTGTGATACCAGCTTAGAACACTCAAGATCAGAAGAACTTCAACATAACTCTAGTTCCACAGTCTCACAACAGGAGGCCCTGCAGAAAGCCCTCGACTCCTAGGCATGTCAATGATTGTATGGGGCATCGCTTGCCTCAGTTTTTTCTCAAGCTCAGTGCAGACCCACCACCCAGACCCCAAGATAAAACCTGACACCCTTAGCGGATCTGGCAACAGCTCTTACCTAACGGAATTGCTTATATAGATGATACTCACGGGCCCTGATGGTTCGAGGTCAATTCCTACCTGAGGACGGCCATTGGGCTCTGTGTGAATGAGAGAGCCATGAGCCCCCAAAGCTGCGCCCAAACGGTTTAGGGTTTAGGGTTTAGGGTTTAGGGTTTAGGACAGACGTCTGTTGACCCTGAGTCTAACCCTGGTCCCACGCATCGGCATACTGCAGAACCAAATGGAAGCAACCTGTTGTTTCCAGGCTTATTGGCTTGGTGTGAATACCAGGTTGAGGCTACTGCTAGGTCTTTGTTGCAAGTTGCTCGTAGCGTCTGGCAAGCCATAGCGATTGGGATGCTTCCCATGATTATCGGGGCTGCACCGTTGATGATGGTGGTGACCGTGATTACGGTAATGTAGGAGCAGCCGAAGACACGGCCAGTGTGAGCAGTGTGATAGCAGGGCGGCGCATGCTGATTGCCATGTTGATGTAGGTGTTCTGCTGCCGTCAGTTTCGTGGGGGAGGACAATCGCCCTCGATAAAGCCTTACAAACCCAAACCGCACAACATGAGGAAACTATAACCCTAAACCCTCAACCCTCCTATAAACCTTTCTTACCATCGCAAATCTTGAAGCAAATCCTGAATGAAGGCAGGTGCAGGATCTCCTGGAGCACCGGCACGGACAGCAACTCGACCTCAGAAAAAGAGGGCTTCAGGGTTGTCATCAGAGCCTGGGTTCAAGAAAAGGGTGCAGGATCCAGGGTTTAGGGTTCAGGGTCGGATTTTAGTGCTTTGAGCTCAAAGTTCAGGGTTCTGTGGCCTTTAGGGGCATCCGGCTAGTCCCCAAGCCCAGTTGCAAACAAAAACGGGTTTAGGGCTTTAAACTTAGCGCTTTAGGGTTTTGTGGGGTTTAGGGGTTGGAGCTGATTGTGCAGGGTTTTGTATGTGCGGAATAGTGTTCCCTGCGGCTCCTCATGACATGTAAAGTTTTGCAAAACGCTATTCGGATTATTGAGGCCGCTATGTTAAGCTTCTGCACTTCAAGGGTTTCATGTGGCTATTACTTGGCTTCTGAGAAGTATTAGTGTTGTTAGCATTCTAGTATTGCTAGTATGTACTACTTGTATTATGAGTAGATAGTATGATTAGTAATACTAGTTTGTATTGTTAGTTAGATCAGTATCACAGGTTTTGTGACTGTTTAGGCCCGCCTTGAGAGGGTATCGTCTGGGATTTTGAGTTTAACAGTTCAGGAGTCTGTTGTCTGTTGTCATCCTATCTAGTACTCGAAGCCGCCCGATTATCAGTACAAACAGGTGCTTACAGACCCCTGAGTATGACAATTGTCTCCTCTCCGGAACCTAAACCAAAAAAATCGTCCCCAGTTGGCAGGCTCGACTGGCTTTGGCGTTCATCCGCGTTAGAGCAGCCACTGACGTCAACTTTTCAACATTTCAGCACCTCGGGCCATTGTAAATGTGTGGCTTGCTGCTAAGAAGAAGAACAATAAGGCTCTATAAGGCTAATTATGAGGGTGTCTATAATTACGGGTATTTATCAACAAGGTCAACAGAAAGTTTTCTGTAAGTGCTGAGACTAGGGCTAATTAAGGATTAGGGTTGCAAGGCTTAATTAAGGAAGGGTAATTAAGAGGGTTGCTGCAAGGCTTATTCCAAGCATCCCCTGATTACATCTAAGTACTGTGGGCTCCGGTCGCTGTTGTTCTAAATCTTGGTCCTGAAGAATGCAATTCATCACAACTCGCGTTTCTTTGTGCATTAAAAGTAGGATTCCGATGGTAATCCACATTAAGAGTGGGACTTATGAACCAGGGCCCTAGGTTGATAGACACCTATATGCAAAGATCTCAGGGTGACCCTTGATTACTGCACGCCACTTGTCTGGTGGGTTAGATGCCATGCTACATATGGCTCATGTTGAGACTACATATTCCATGTTTGTAGAAACATATATGTATTCATACAAACCTGCAGATATGGGTAGATAAACTTTGCATACATGCATACATTCATAGAAAATCCCTTCCCCTTTTATTAAACCCCCCTAATAATAGCAACACATTGGGGCGAACCCTCCCGATATCAGCCCTGCCCTTTCAAGCCTGTTCTGAATTAGCGCGGAAGGCTTCGAGGCTCCAAATACTCTTTGAGCACAGTAAGAGCAAGAGCAAGAGCAAAAGCAAGAGAAGCGGTTAGAACAAGAGCAGGAGCAAGAGCAAGAGCAAAAGCGGGAGCAACAGCACAAGCAGCAGGAGCAGGTGCAAGAGACGCAGCAGAAGCAGGAGCAAAAGCCAGAGCAGGAGCAAGAGTACGACCCTTCAACAGTGGCAGTAGAGACAAGAACACCCTCTAATAATCAAAACACTTTCCGGGGGGCGCCCCCCGTTTGATATTAGGGGGAAGGGATTACATATAAAGCAACCAGTAACTCAACGAGTACTAGCGAGAGAGAGAGAGAGAGCGAGAGAGACATCGTCGGTAGATTTCAACAAATACAGTACGAAACTATTCGCGAGCTTTGGGGTTTCGTAGATTCGCCCACCGCATGGTTGCTGAAGTTTTCGAGCAGGTAACTGGTGTTTGTTGTTGAGTGTTTCAGGGTTAGTGGATTTTGGGTATATCTGGCTTATCGGATTGGGTTTAGTTAGGGTTTCAGCGTTTCGGGTTTAAGTTTTTTCACCCAGCCTGGTGAAAGCGAGTTAATGAGTGCTTTCGCCCGGGCATTCTCACTCTGAGGTCACCGTACACTCCTTTTGCATCGTGACTGGATGCGCGATGTGGCTTGGATCAACAAGGCAACTCCAACATTCCACCCTTGCGGATCCTAAGCTCCCAGACCAGCCATTACGGAGGGAACTGCGCATTGCTACATCAAGTCATCCACTTTGAATGTTTATTTGTTCTTGCTCGGTTTTCGGCATTTAAGTGCTGCTGCCTCTGCCGCTGGTGCAGCTGCTTCTGCTACTGCTGCTACTACTACTACTACTACTGCTGCTGCTGCTGCTACTACTACTACTACTACTACTACTGCTGCGACAACAACAACAACCACTACTCACTACTACTGCTGCTACTACTACTACTACTACT